GGGTGCTGGTAGCTGGAACAGCTAAGTAGCTTTTGCTAATATGCCGCTGCTTTTCTGAAATGACCCACTAGGTTCCTGATCGGTGCACGTGTGACGTGTCGTGTAAGGCTGCCATGTTTTTCACGTCAAAATCACATGATCCACGCAGCGCGACTAGTCGACTTCAATCAAAAAGCGTCATGACAGAGTATTAAGGTCGACCAGTCGACTAGTCGACTAGTCGGTGCAACCCCTAGTTCACGGTATGATTTTCTCATGATTTTTTAACAGAATGAGCTGCAGACAAATGTATTAAAAATATTCCTTTATCTTTCTAAACTGCAAAACGTGTCCTCTTCTTAACAGTACAACTGAAATTGAATAAAATACTGTTTTTAAAATCCCAAATCAAAGTAAATAAAAAAAAAATCTTCAATTAAATAATCTAAGGCTTGCATGCACAGTTTTTTAGCGTGGTTTGCCCTTTTAATAATCTTTGCTCTGGCGGTGGTGAATTGAGCTCACTGTGGTGCCGGTGGACATGCTGAAGCATGTTTGTTGTGCTATTTGTGTATCTTATCAGTCTTTTACAATGTTCGCGCGCAATTTTTGTCTTGTCTGTGGTTTTCTCACCATTTTCGTTTGTGATTACCGGAACGCTAAAATGCTGCAACACCACCTATGATCAGGCAGTGCGTCCATTCATCCATTTTCTGAAACTGCTTAATCCTAACTGGGGTCATGGGGGGACCGGAGCCTATCTTGGGAACAATGGGCGCAGGTGGGAACCAACCCCGGGCAGTTGCCAACACACCACAGGGTGCACACACTCACAGGGCCAATTTAGACTCACCAATCAACCTATCCTGCATGCTTCTGGACCATGGGAGGAAACCAGAGCCCCCGGCAAAAACCGATGTGAACACGGGGAGAGCATGCAAACTCCACACAGAAAGGACCCGGGACCAAAACCTTCTTGCTGTGAGGCAAGCTAACCACTGTGCCACCGCGCCGCCCCGTGGTGTGTCCTCAATTACAAATTCGCTCGCCATCTCGTGTTCAGTCAAAACCAAAAACTGACGAACGAGGTTGACGTAAATGCGCAGTGACATCTGACGTCGAACTGACGTCGTGAAATCAAATGTGATATCAGACCTGTTTTACGCTGTGAAGTACTCCTAAAGTAGTGATTCATTTTCCACATCAGCCAGTTTAAATCGTCATACATTTACATCGATTTTTAACCGATTCGCAATTCATTGTTACAGTAAACAGTTCAGCTCCACTCTTCACATGGGTGTCCAAAATATGCGGACGCAAATCTGAAGATACAATTACAAAATCGATCATCGAACTGTGGCAAAGGGTGCTCTGGTGCTAGGTGCACTTATGAATACCTTTATGTTCAAACCACCTGGTTTCACATCGAGTAGGTCATTCCTTGAAATCACACCCTTTCAGGTTTCACTGTTGTTACTCACGTGAGCGTTAAGGTCCCCCAGAGGAACAATGGAGTCCCCAGAGGCAGTACCTTCCAGTACCCCATCCAAGGTGTCCAAGAAGGCCAGATACTCTGAGCTAGTCTTTGACGCATAAGCCCAGACAACAGTCAGAGCCTGTCCCCCAAATTGAAGTCGAAGGGAGGTGACCCTATCATCCACCAGGACAAACTTCAACATAGGCACCGAACACAGGGACTATAAGTAAGTAGACCCACTCCTGCCTGGCAACTCTCATCTAGGGCAATTCCAGAGTGGAAGAATGCAGCCCCTCTCCAGGAGTCTCATCCAGAGTCCAAGTCATACAGTAGGTTGAGGTGAGCCAGACTATATGTAGTTGGTATCTCTTTACCTCCTGCACCAGCTCAGGCTCCTTACCCACCAGAGAGGTTACATGCCATGTGCCTAAAGCTACATTTGATAGCCGATGATCTATCCACTGAAGCCCCTGTCTTCAAATGCCACCCAATATACATGGCACCTAACCCCTACAGCCTATCCTGCAAATGGTGGGTCCACAGGAGAGCAGACCCAAGTTCTCCTTTCGGGCTATGCCTGGACCAATATGCCCTGACATCATAGCTTCTAGGATCATAGAGGCACACAAACCCCTCCACCACAATAGGGTGGTGATTCATTTTTAGTAATTATTTATTTTATAATTATTTTGCAAATATTTAGCAGTGACCATAGCATTGGATTCCGAGAGTGGGATCTCACCCGGTCCCTCAGTAAGCGCTCCCTCTCGACTTTAGCTTTCCTGAGCCTTCGTTCCATCTCCAGCAGGTCTGGTACAGCGAGACAGGGACTGCAGGGAAAGTGGTCTGATCATGTGACTCACAACCACAACAAGGGCCACCCACCAGAAGTGCCTGCAGGCTAAGACTATACATGTAGTTATAAATATAAATATCTGTCTTTTTTGGTCTACTGTAAATTTGCACTCTAAATATATATTATTATTAAAATAAATCTTACATTTTTATTTAGTGACTATAGTCCACAGAACAGTTAATATATACTGTATAAATCTCTGTCATTTTATGCCCTCTGTGGAATATGGAAGTTGCAAGAAATAATTAAAACCAGTTGTATACTTATCACATCAACCTTGGGCTTTCTGCCACTGACACATTTGTAACAAGACAACAGGGAAACATTCTCTAATGTTACTCCACAATTCATATACTAAACTGAGCCAAAGAATACATTTTAAAGCCATCTTTAAAACTGAAAATAAAGTTTTAAATGAAGGAGATATTCCTGCACTGACCTAGATGTCCTGGAGCTGCTGGCACTGTTGCAAGAAGTGATGAGCCCACAGTCATTATAACTCTGTGCTATGAGTCTGTTTCCATGCTGATTCCCATGCTGATTTGAAGCCCACGCAGGTGGGATGACAAGATTCTTGGACACTTGACTGTCTGGGATCATTTTTGCTGACCCTGTGCAAAGATGACCAAGTATATACCAAGTAAATACTGTATGTGGCATGCTTTTAGCCCTTTACAGACAGAAAAAAAAAAAAGTGTGACAAAATGGGAGCAGAGAAGAATAAAACAATATTAAAAAATGCACATGCACTACCCTGAGAGTTCAGCTGTCTATGCAATGCCTTATCGACTGGCAGCATGGATGGATTCTGTGCATATCTGAAAGTCTTCCCTTTCCTCCCTTGGAGTTGCTTTTCATGGCACTCGCCATGTTGCTGATTAGTATGCAGCTAAATAGCATATTACACAGTGTGACTGCTGCATATTTTCACAAAGACATTCACTAGTGGTGGTGTTTTGTCAATGCCATATATATACAGTATATGCTATGTCATATAAATTTTTACTCATTTCAGTGTGGATGGAAATACTCTTGTAAACGATATGAAAACACCTGTGTGGATTGAGATAGTTTTCATTTGAAAGTTCCATTAAGAAAACATAGCAGTGTGGATGTAGCCTTGGCCAAAACTAATATTTGTTGTGACTCTGATTTTAACAGCTATGGCTTACCTTGACCAGACAAAGGTCTATGAGTAAACTTGTTTCGGTGAGAATTCTTGTGTTTGGGAATACTAGACATTTCCTTTGGTGAGTCCTGTCAAAGTAATTTTAAAGTGAGTTCAGGATCTCTAATATAACATGAAATATAAAAAAAATACATTGTAATGTTTCTGCCCATTACTTCCCTTCATACCCTGTGAATGCTAAGTGGGCTCAGTGAGATCATACAAGGGGTAGATGCTGAGATGCTGAGCCAGTCACAACTTGATTTCTTCTCCTTCGGAATCTATTAAGGATGATCACAGTACAAACATCAAGCAAATTTGGAGAACAGGAGCAAATGATAATGGCAGAGAATAAAGCTTGGGCTACCTAACACAATGATAAAGGTCATTACAACCCCTCACTATCTCTCCCTCTCCCCTCCCAGCAGTTCCCCTCACTGGCTATCCCTCTACCCTCCCAATTGCTCCCCTCACTGGCTCTCCCTCTTCCCTTGCAGTAGTTCCCCTCACTGGCTCTCCCCGTCCCCTCCCAGTAGCTTTCACTGGCTCTCCCTCTCCCCTCCCAGTAGCTTCCCTCACTGGTCTCACCTCACTGGCTCCCTCTCTTCCCTCTCAGTAGCTCCCTTCACTAGCTCTCCCTCTCCCCTCCTCCAGTTCATCCTTGTGTCTTTTAAGCCTTCTTCTTACTTACTCTATTAGCTCACACTCTTTTCATCTTGTTTTCCCTGTCAAATTCTGCATGTCTTGGTTTATTTATTCACAATAACAGCATGACCAAAGCAAAGGCACTGTACTTCAGACTTTCATGTGCATTTTTAATGCAGTGGTGGATTTACTAAGTGGCTGATGGGTGGGCCTGAATTAAATCTGGGTGGGCTCATTATCACATGTTTTTGTAAAAAGGGTTAGATATTTACAATAAGGTGACGGCAACAATAATACAGCCACGACTGCCATGCCCTACCTAAAGATAACCACTAGAGGGAGCTCACATATTCAGACAACTTTACAGTACAATAGCTATGTGGAAGGACAGAGTTAATAGACTTTTCATTAATCTTAATGGGTAAATCCAGCTGTCAGGGTTATAGATCTTCCCATTTTAATGTAGTTCTTTTACATGCTTTTTCAGAATTCTATTTTCACATTTAAATCATTCTTTAATTATTAACCATTATAGAAAACCAGTATTATTTTAGTTATTTTGAATGAACATTTTTAAAGACAAAGTAACAACTGGGGCTGCCGTGATTAGTTGATGTAGTAGATGACGTCGACGCTGAAAATCCGTCGATATCAATATTTTAAATCGACGCATCATTAAATTTTTTTTAATAAACTTACCTTTATGATTTTTAAAAATGCTTTAATTCATTATAACAAGTGTTTTCCTTTAATATCAGTACGTGATTATTCTGAGTAGTTCCAAAAGGTGGTTTTACACTGTGCAAAGTGCTATGGCATACCACGGCGGTGCTAGCGCTATGCATACTGTAAGCCCCGGAAGAGAAAAACACACAGTCACTATTCTAGACCTCTAGAATAGGCAACATCCCCTTAAATAAACAAAATAATACTTGTGAACTGAGATAAAAATGAAAACCATATTTACCAAAAAAAAAAAAAACGCGTTGGACGTTAATCTTCAAAAGTACCGCCACACCATCAACATCATTTACCTTGTTTAACCACAGTATCTCATCTTCAAAAAGCTGTCCCTTCCTTCGTTGTGACTTCAGTGTTTATCGCTTGTGTCAAATGTGGTATGGTATGCCAACCAAATTAAGCATGAGGATATGCCAAATTTATACAGATTACTAACTTTTGGGCATCACAATACACATCTCATTAATATTTTTAGATAATCTGTTTATCGAATTGTGGGTGAAAATATTCATATATATTTCGAGTGTACATTATCTAAAGCCCTGTAATGGCATACAGTTTGCTGAATTTGTTTAATAAAATGCTCAAATTGATTTTCTGGAGGAAAATTAATCTAAATGATTCATCAACCAGTCAATAAAAGAGACAATAGATTAATCTATAGAAAAATAGTCGTTAGTGGCAGCCCAAGTAAAAACTACGAAGCAGTATGATATCTCAATGTTTAGCACTGTAGTCGCATCCATCTTTCAAAAACTATCAGAGAATTTGATGTTATGCTGAATGGATGCTGTTCACCGAGTACAAACAACTGAAGGGAGAGTCAGCAAATTATTACAGTAAGTTACATTAGTTGTGCCCTAACGATAGGGGCAGACTGCTGGCAAGTGCTTTACCCTTTGAGAGTTGTGATGCAGCTCTCTTCGCTCCTGTCTCAGTGTGTTCAGCTCTCTGTCCTTTTCCCTTTCTATCTCCTTCACTTGTTTTTCAAGCTGGAGGACATGCTCCTGCAAAACAGAGAGTGTGGATCACTACTATGGTATCGCTGAAGGCACTGAAGATACTAGTTAATTTTCCCTTTTAGAATCTTCAAAAAGGCAGTTGGTCAAAAAATACTCTACTTACTTCACCTTGGAAACAACTTCATCATTACCATCAACAATTTTTGTAATGCGAAATATCTTTTATACATGTAAATACACAGACTTCAGGGAATACATATTGTTTTAACACCAGTCCGCCAGAGATGCTTTGCTATAGCTAAAAAGGGAAATTTTGACACCGTTAAAAAGATAACACAAAGTTTTTGATGGATCATTTTCAAACTTTGAAGAGGCTTTTTATGGTTGATGACCTGGAAATGATTATATAGACAGATCATCTCAACACTGAAGCAACACCGCTTAGTGGCAGCAAACGGAATGATGAAAGCAGATGCATTTGAATGTGAATGCAGTCAAAATGTTTTACATGGCAGTAACTCTAATAGTATTGTTTTTTCCGGTAACAATGAAGTATATACTTGAGTCATTTTCATTATAAGCTAGCATCAGAATATTCGGTAGCACTTTACTTGGGGGGCAAAAATACATAATGCAGTTACAGGTTGGTGGTTTACCTGCAGAGCATTGCTGCTTGTCGCACCTCCACCAGTGCCTTTTCATATGTCCTCCTCTATCCACCTCTCTGGGCATAGATGGGTCATCAGCTGGGGACCACCAGTCATTGATGTTTCGCTCCTTTAACCCCAGTACATCTCATGGTGGCGGAGCGATGACTGGGATTTCCCCAGTCACCCCCTGCAGATGCCCTAGGTATTATTTGACCCCCAATCCCTATCCTTTCTCCTCAACCACAGCCAAAAACTGCCCTTCTCTGCTTCTTCTGCCAACTCTTTGATGGCTCTCCGACACCCCACTCCTGTGCATCCCATGTCTCTGAGGAGGCGCATTGTTGAGGATCCAACGAAGCCCCTACATCCCACTTCGACGGGGCACAGGATAGCTTTCCAGCCAGCCTCCTTACAACTCTCCACCAGGTCCATACCCTCCTCCCATGGGACTGTAAGCTCCACTAACAGAATGGTCTTACGTGGTTCTGACCACATGACTAGGTCTGGCCGGAGCGACGTCTCTACAATCTCCCTGGGGAATTGGAGCTGCCTCCCCAGGTCTACCCTCATGGTCCACTCACTGCTAGTATTAACAGAGTTACTACTGAAGAACAAATCATGAACAAATATAGTCACTACTTGAGATAAAAGGTATGTTATGATTCATTAATGATGAACTAACATGAGATTAGTATTTCACATGTGTTATTCATTATTTGCTACTTCAGTAGTACATTCAATAGTTCACAAAGATTCACAGAATTAAGAGATATAGTAACAAATATAGTAATTACTTCATAAAAGATGTTACGAATTATTAATGATGAAAAAACATGAGATCAGAATGTAACAAAGACGTAGCATGTGGTTAATACATAAGCAATTGCATAATAACATTTTTGTACCCTCTTAAGTAAAATGTTACTGAATATTCTATAGAATAATTGAAAATGTGATAGTTATAGCCTGAAATAGATTGTTCCTTAAAACAAGGCCAGTAAAGCTACTTAGACTTCCACTCGCCCACCTCCTCCATTCCCTGGTCAGCCTTACCACAGAAATTCCTAAATACAGTGGTACCTTGGCTCACGGATTTAATTCGTTCAAGGACACAGTTTGTGACCTGAAAAGTTTGCCACCTGAATCAATTTTTCCCATTTAAAATAATGTTCAAACCTTCAAACAAATAATTTGTTCAAACCTCAGAAACACTGAATTTTTCAATTTTTTATGTTTTTCTGTGACCAAGAATATATACTTAAATTAAAATAACCTTAATTATAAACAAATAATGCTAAATTGAATAAAACAGTACCACTGAGCATACACTTGTTGGCGGGCTGGTTGCTATAAACACGCCAAAACATGGAAAAGAACCACAAAAAAAACTGAACAATTAACATTAAAAGACTGAGTAACAGCCAAAAACAATACAGTAATTTCAAAAATGTGATTTTTTTTTATTATACTGTACATTATTTTCATATGCCTAAAATTTTTATGTACATTTCGTGATGCGACACATTGTATGGCGATGAATTTTGTTTGTACTGCAAACAAACAATATGCAGTTGCCACCATGTGTGAATGGAGATTATAACACTTCAATAGGAGTTATTTAATAATTTATGTTATTAATATAGTATTGTAATTTTATGTATAGCTATGTGACTGTTAAAAACCATCACAAACATGTTTATCAATCACTGAAAGGTACCACTATAACAGAACGTTCTCTCTCTCTATTTTATCTTGTTTCACCTCTGAAGAGATATAGTAAAGATATACATCTACAACAAGTTTTTTATACATTCCACAACCGTTCCTGGGCATAATGTACACTTCTTTGTGTTTTGGGTGGTTCTTTGGGGCACTTTTGGCCGATGTTTGTGTGTTCACAGCCTGAAACACGGTTCGCAAACCGGTACAAAATTTTTTTGAACATCTGGTCCATAACCCGATTTGTTCGCGAAAAGGACTGTCCGTGGGTCGAGGTACCACTGTATTTTCTCCATCATCAGACTGACAAAGTTCTGAATTATTGTTGCCAGGATACGACCATTGACTGTAGCTTTCCTCTCAATGAGATATAGATAAGGAAAGCTGTGACACGTGTTTAGAAGAACGGTTTAGATTTAATACAAAAATGCATCATACAGAAAGTAAAGTGTGCTGTAGTGAGTACAGAAAATATATTCGACTCACATGACCATCAAATTGTATTCCTCCAACAAAACGCTTGGCATACTTGACTCTTCCCTCATGTGAATGGTCCCTATCTCAGTTACCTGAGCAGTGTTGACAGCATGCTGGTGGCGAGACATCTCTCTCTCCCTCTCACTATCACTCTCTTCCTCCTCCTCCACAACCCCACTTTCTCGCTCCAGAAATTGGAACTCCATGTCCTCAAAGCTCCTCACTGCTATCTCTATGGCTTCTTTCTCCTAAAAGGAACAATGAGAAGGAGCAAATGCTAATTGAAGGAGAACATATGGAGGCATGAATACAAACATGAAAGAAAGAAATAATTAATAAAATTCAGTTACATAAATAACATTCTTAATTGTAATGTGCTTAGGCAAGTCATCTTCAAATGTCTCTGGAAAGGCCACCAAGCCATCCAATTGCCACAATTTCTTTGATACAATACTGTCCAACACAATATTGTCCAATCTGTTTTGTGTAATCACTGTAATGAAATAGCAACATTGAAGCCCTTAAGTATCTTATGCAGTCTGGGTGTCATATTAAATGAATGAACATCTAGTGCCAGACACATAATTATTACTAAACTTATACAACTTGTTGTGTTCATTTTTTGTGTGAGAGGTAGGGGTGCAAGGCAGAGAAACAGATAACTGACAAATAAATTGTTAGCAAAAGGAGAAAAAAGCAGATGTGACACACAGTCGAAAGATCAGGAGTTACTTGCTGCAGCTGGAATAGTAGCTGCTCTCTCTGGCTCTCCGGCTGGGATAAAATGTGCGTCTCCTTCTTCTCACAGTGCCTCTTCAGCTCTCCCACTCGTTCCCGCTCCTGCTCCAGGGCAGCTCGCTCCTAAAACAGAATAGCCATATGGTGGTCTATTGATTAAAATTCAGTGCTCACACCACTGAGACCCAAGTTCGATTCCTTTGCTAGGACTTAATCCAGGGACTGTCTGATCCTGTTTCTCAAACAATATATGTTACTTTGGATAAACCATCTGTCACATACATAAAATATAATTATTTTAAGTTGATTGTTGAATTCCTCTACATTTGTTCATTGTGACATGCAAATCTAGATGCATATCTGGATGCAATCTGCTTTCTGCAGAAGATGCACCTGCTGCCTCTTGAGCTGCCGTTGTGAAGCCCTCAGCTTTCCTTCCTCCTGCAGCTTCTGCATTTGCTGCATGTGTCTGCAAAGTCGCTCCCTCTCAGTCTGTAGCTCCCCGCACAATAAGGCCACCTCGAGCTGCATCTGTAAAGAAGGATATGCAGACACTTTAGAAACATTGAAAGAACATAAACGATACATTTACAATAATATAGCATTTTTAGATTAAAAAACATATTTTGCTTAAACACAAAATGACTTTTTCCATTTCTTTTGCTCCAGTGACTCAAGTGCCAAACAAATGCATAAATGTATATTTCCCCCTGAATTTTAGGCAAGATTTAGGTTATAAGCTTATTTCCATACTTCTATCTTCAGCTCCTCCCTCTGCTGATCAAGCTCTGCGATTCGCTGCCTCAGAATGGAGGGAGAGGCCAGGCCTCTTCTGGGCTCCACCTCTGCATGTTGGGAATGGGACTAAGGAGCAAGACAAGTTAAAAAACAATATGGCTGTTTTTGCATGATAAGTTGTATATGATGATAATGCAGCCATATTCTCCCTTACGTTCTCACTCTCAGTGCTGCTGCTCTCTACATCTGACTCCGCCCCCGATGACACAGGGCTATGTCCATAAATCACTCTGGTGCTGGCTGGAAGTTGTCTGCCTTTCTGCCACTGACTCCTCTGCATGCCTGTGTTGTGCTGAATCATTTCTAATTGAAGGCTATTGAAAGCAAAAATGAAAGTTAAACCTCCCAGACTCATAAAAGTTCCAATAACTCATACTTCTATACTACGGAGTTGGCATGACAAGCAATAGCAGAGTAAAAAGGAGTTGTACATGACATAGAGAAATATTACAGAGCACGGGAAGTGGGAGTAAAACTACTACCAAAACTGCTTGGAATAGAACATAGAAGCAAACAAATTACACTAATGCATTTCTTTGGATCAACACACTTCAGCATTAGTTCAAATACAAGACAAATACAAGAACTCGTGGCCATAGGTGGAAATTAGCGGGAGAACATTTCAAACTGGATTTAAGGAAGCACTTCTTTACACAGCGTGTAGTCAGAGTATGGAATAGTCTTCCTGATAACGTAGTGCAAGCTGAATCCTTGGGTTCCTTTAAATCAGAGCTAGATAAGATTTTAACAACTCTGAGCTATTAGTTAAGTTCTCCCCGAGCGAGCTCTATGGGCCGAATGGCCTCCTCTTGTTTGTATACTGTAGTTCTTATGTTCTTATGTTCTTACACCAAAAAAAGACTGTTGAATGTGCAGCACACCTCAAACAACAACTGGCATGAAAACAAACCCACACTGGATGCAACTGCTATTTGTTATCAACATAAATGGAAAGCAAATTTAATTTTACATCATTTGTGAACAAGCATGGGAGCAGAGCCATGACTTCAAAGATCTATACCTTTCCCAGCCTTGTTCTGTCCCCATGAGTTCTTGCCTTAATTGGTTGTGCATTCAGGGCTATTCAGCTGTAGGGATAAATATATTTGAATGAAAAGTTTCAAAATCTGGCTAATACACTGACATGCACAAAGATAAGCTAAGGTGGATGGGGGACTAAAGAAGCAGAAGGAGAGACAGGAAAGGAATAATAAATGAGTTATGGCATGCAGACATCTGTTGTAACGTCTCCCTGTAACAAAGTCTGGAACAATAACACCAACACGGAACAGGGTCATTCGCCATGTCATACAATAAGAAAGATCAAAATCCTTCATTTGGTTCCAAAGAAAGGTGCCCTAGTGAACATTTTCACAAAAAAGGCCTTGTGTTAGTAGTAGTAACTGCAAGCATTAAGTCCCTCCATAAAAAAAAAAAAGTCTTGATGCTTCCATACTAAAAAATTATAGGCCAATTTCAAATCTTCCCTTCTTTGGAAAGATAATTGAGTATGCTGTTTTCAATAAACTAATCCTGCTCTTAAACACAAGTGGTTGTTTTGACAGACTTTAGTCAGGTTTCCACCCTTACCACAGCACCGAGATTGCTATCCAGCAAAACAGTGATTCAGGCAAAGTCCCGTGGCCTGTACTACGAAACAGGTTTACTGGCTTATCGGGGTAACTTTGCGAGTAACTTGATGACGTGAGGTGTAACTTCGCGATTAACCTGTACTACGAAAGGTGGGTAGGTTTTAGTCGAGGCATGCTGCCATGGCAATTTACACTAAGTCTCAAAACTGCTCCGAGCAGTTTTTGTTCTTGGTTAAGTTGAGGTTTCTGCGTAAGCCAGCCCTACAGTATATGAGCACCGCCCCTCCAACTACAATTTCTCCGAAGACAATGCAGGTGTTCTGAAATTATTTCCTACCCATGAAAATGTCCTACCCGAGTTAAGTAGCGAACGAGCTTGCGCAGTTAACACACGCCCATAAATATCTGCTGCTTTCGAGTCTCTGCTTTTCGAAGAAGAAACAAGGTTAGTTTTATCGCATTTTTAGTAATATATATATATATATATTAGTAGTACTGTTTAGCCCCGATTGAGTCAACCTGATTTTGTCAACCTTGCGTTCGCAAATTACCTCCGGGTTAAGTCTGATTTGGTTAAATGCCCTTCGTAGTACAGGCCACTGGTTTTACTACATCTAAATGCAGCATTTAACACAATTGATCACAAAATACTCATGGAAAGGCTGAAGACTTAGCCTCACTGGAACTGTTTTGAACTAGTTCAGGACATACCTAGAGGGCAGAAGTAGTTATGTTGAAATTTGCAGTTATAAATCAAGGTATTGAACTGCAGGGTCCCACAAGGATATTTCCTAAAGCCCCTCTTATTCAACTACTATATGCTTCCTTCAGGTCAGATTATTTTAATGTGGGTTATAGTTACATGGATGACACACAGATCTCCCTGGTTTTGCCACCCAATTAATTTGTATTTATTTATTTATTTATTTGGGAAGACAGCAGAGCAACTACCAGTTAGTGCCTACCTTGAGTCACAAAGGCCACAAAGACTAAAAATATAGAAATTGAATATCTCAGTTTCAATAACCATGTTAAGCCTATAACTAAGTCTTCCTTTTATCAGCTTAGGAACAACTGTATACCCAAAGGCCTAATCTTCAAGCATGACCTTGAAAAATTTATTTATGCCTTCATCTCCAATCAGTTGGATTATTGCAATGCCGTCTTGTACATATACAGTATGGCCTTCCCAGAAAATGCATAAGGGAGCAACAACTCATCTAAAATGCTGCCACTAGGACAAAGAAGAGTGAATACATTACTCAAGACTTTCACTCCTTACACTTGCTTCCAGTTGTCTTTAGAATCCACTACAAGGTGCTGCTGCTTGTTTACATGTCACTCAGTAGTCTTGGCCCAGTTTACATCATAGACCTTCTGACTGAGTACGAACCTAAAGTGCCAGATCATTTGGAGCTGGTCAGCTAATAGTGCCAAGAATGAAAAGTAAGCAAGGCCAAATGGCATTCAACTGGAACAGACTCACGGAAGAGATTAGACCAAATATACCTGTAAAATCAGGCTTAAAAATTTTATTCCACTGTGCCTTTGATAAGTACTGTAATCAATGCTGATGCTTTTTCTTTTAATATTTTTAAGGACATAAGAACATAAGAAATTTACAAACAAGAAGGGGCCATTCGGCCCATTAAGCTTGTTTGGGGAGAACTTAACTAATAGCTCAGAGTTGTTAAAATCTTATCTGTAGAGGCTGCTGGGATTGCTGTACTGTGCGGGAGTGGTGTAGTTGCTGTGTGCACTTGGTTGTGTTGTGCGCCGGTTGATTTGATTAGAATTATCTGTAAAGTATATTTGAGTGTTTGTGTGCCAGCACGGTTACTTGGGTGGTTGTTGTTTTATTTTTAACTTTTATTTTTACGTGTGTACTTGTCTGTCCTTGTTAATTGACAGCGTGAGTGTTACCGACAGCTGCGGGCGCGAGCGGCGTTTCTGTATGCGTCCTTCGCATCAAACACCCGCGGGTAATATTATCGAACATCGGTAACATTAACTCTAAAAGGACAGTTGCCCCTGAGCTTTGCTCGGTCGCCGGTCGGGGCCGGGAGGACATTTTCCACTTTTTTTTCCGCTCCGGCAGTAGCCTGCTTTGAGAGGTTTTTTTTTTTTTGTGGTTTTTTTGGCCTCCCTAGAGCAACTTCGCTTTAGTTTAGCTAAACGTGGTTCAGCAGGAAGTTAGTCTCGGGTAAGTAATTGTTAATTTGGTTATTTTAAAAGTTTAATTTAAAGGTTGTTATCGCTGACGCTGCCGGATAATTTATAATAAAGTACCGATTTAACGCAAGTGTTAATTTAGTGTTTTAGCGTACCCGGTAATTTGTTTTAACTATACGTTAATTAGATCAACTAAAAGTTTAAATACTCTATATTAATATACTGGGCTGGGAGTAAAGGACGGGGACATAGTGAGTTAGGTAATTATGGGGCCAGCTCAGTGTTGTGTTTGCAAGATGTTTGCCCTTCTGGATGCTTGCGTCCAGTCGAACTTCGTCTGCGAGCGATGTAGGTTAGTTGACTCACTCATGGTCCAGGTTCGTGACCTAGAGGAGCGACTGGCTCTCATCCAACATAACAATGAGTTAAAGGAGAGAGTTATTACACCTTCTAGGGAGACTGTGTGTACGTCACAAGTGGGGAGGGGGGAGAATGATGAACAGGTAAGTCGAGAGAGCTGGGTGAACGTAGATGTAGAAAAGGGTGTACACAATTCACAGAGGCGGCATCACCTGAAGTAACGGTGTCTAACCGCTTTCGGGTGCTTCCAGCTCTAGAGCCGGAAGAGACTGGGGAGGCAGGTGGGCCCTTGGGCACCAAGGAGCCGCCTAACCCCAGTAGGAGGGAGGTTGTGGTAGTAGGGGATTCAATTATAAGAGGTGTAGATAGTTATGTGTGCACCCGTGCAGAACAGCCCTTCTGCCCTTTCCTATGTCGTTGGTGCCAACATGCACCACGACCACTGGATCCACCCCGGCTGGGGCCAAAAGCCTGTCCACTCGATTTGGAAGGTCCCCTACCTGGGCACCAGGCAGACAAGACACCGTACGGGACCCTCTATCACGGGTGAACACATAACTATCTACACCTCTGATAATTTTTGTTGTCTTTTACATGCAGTTTTTTCAATTTCCTATTTAATAATTCCTAATACTTGCTTTATTTAATTTTATGTAAAGCACTTTGAATGACCTCTGTGTTGGAAAATGTGCTGTATAAATATACCTGTTTTACCTAGCCTCAGTACATCTAAGTATAGAAATCATGACTGTATGTCGTAATGTGAGGCAGCACAATTTTACAGTGCTCCCTTAAAACAAGAAAGAAGAAAAAATAAGCTATATTACACAGAATTGTATTACATATGAGCAGAAACCTCAAACTTCACAGGTCACTTTGAACTGCTTTCAGGCACCATCGAGATGAAAAGGAGGTGCTCAGGACTAAAGTCCAAGTATTCTTAGCCAGGTTCTATTGAACCAGTCTCAGAATGTATTCATTGATGAGACTGCTAAGCACCTTTGTAAGTCGCTCTGGCTAAGGGGATTTGCCAAATTTTCATAAATGTAAAAAATGTATATGTAAATGTAAATTCCTGTCAAGTCAGACAACAGAAAACCGTAAGGGTTTAAGCAAACATAAAGTACCCATTAAAACACAGAGGAGTGGCACGACCCGAGAACAAAAACGAATCTGGTAGGAGGGGATTTAAGCCAAACCCTGGCAGTGAAAGAAAAAGCTAGACATTATGGTAAGGGCTGAGCCAATGACAGAAAATCTGATCATATTGCTGGCTGATATGATCCTTCACACTCCTCTGTTAATTACTTCTCTAAATACTACAATAATGAACAACCCCTGACACATACCTGAAATCAATAGTAATTAGGCATAATGCTTGCCGTAATGTTCCTTTTTGAAACTCATCCCAGGTCATTCTCTTGAACTCAGTTAATTCTGGGAATCCTTTCCATATTTGGTACACAAGGTTAAGACCCACTTCCGTTCACATTCTCCAGTATGGGCCATTTCTAATTTAATTTGAGAAATTACCATTTTTGATTTTCATTAAATTTGGCATGTGAATTACACATAACTTCCACAGCTAAAAAATATTTTTGTTTATTCTCTTTGAGATATACAGCTTTTTTTACGCAGTGGGCATCCAAAAATGATAATTCAGAGTGATTTGTTTAATTAAAATGGAATGACCAACATATAATGTCCTACCAGTGTCTACTTTAAGATAGATTCTCATCAAATTACTCCTAGGACCCTGCTCTTTTCACTCCTTTGTTATCCTCTACTCGGGCAGCAGGTGACATGTAGTTTAGTTTAATGGAGGTAAACTAAGTAAATAAAATGTAAATATTAAATTTTGCACTACTTTTGCATTCTGGTGACATGTCAGTAAGAACTGTAAGAAATACACCAATAGTAAATACAAAGCCCTGAAGGGGCCACAGACAGTTTTTGTTTTTCCTGTGCATGGCAACTCATTTACAATTAACAGACACTTTTATCCATATACACTTACAGTACAGGGAGGAGCTAAAATCTGCATGTCATCCCTAGGATTGCATGAGCACAGCACTGTTAGTGCAATCTGTTGGCTACAGGAATGCTCTTGACACTACAGGTATGTATCGCTTAACAGCTAGGACAGACAGAAAAATTTGCACACAAGGGCAGATTTCTGCCAAAACTGGCTAATGCACCAAAACACAAAAAACAAGGAGAAACTAATAAAAAGGCAACTCAGATGTCTAACACTCTTTCAAACTATTTACAAATATTTATATCTCTTTGGGCTTTATCCATTGTTTAGCGCTATTGTTGACTGTGCCACTCGTTGAAATAGTTTCTGCATATGACAAAGCAGAGTGAAACTGTACAATGTACAATACACCAGAATAACCGTAAAACAGGAAACCTAATAAATAATAAAAGTTTAGTAAAACTTTTTTTCTGTTTGCCATTTTGCTGTCCTCAATGCAAAACCAACTTGAGTAGTGGAGTGAGTACAACAAGTACAGTACTGCCCCATTACCTACAGTGGATAGCACCGTGAA